GCCTTACATCCTACCAACAACTCTGGTTAAAACACGCAGCTGGTTCCCCCAACACCACTGAGCACCCCCCCAGCACCCTCCAGTCATGGCGGAGGACAATCCAGGAATAGTTCCCAAGTAGTGCCAGGTATGGCCCAAAAACAAAATGGAAAAGGATTTTTTAAAAAGAGGTGTTCTCCTTTATACAGATAGAAGGAACCAGCTGGAGGGTTGGTCAGGGGTGGGCAGTGGATGAAGCAGGCCTGGTGAAAGGGTTCCAGTCTCAGAGAAGGTGGGGGTGGGAGAAGGTCTGTGCCGAACTCAGAAAACGAGAAGAAAGGATGGAGGCCTTTGGATGTTCCTCCAACAGGGAGCATTCATGGGAGCTGAGGAGTCGGCCCCCTGTGCTCCAGGTTGCAGGCAGCCCAGGACAGGCCTGGAGGCCATCCCGTCCCCACCCCGTCCCCACTCCAGGCCTGCTTGGAGAGGGCCCAGAACCTGGACTCAGGAGCCAACAGCTGCGGCCAAACGCTCGCTCACTCCCACGCCTGTCCAAGCTGCGCCTCTGGATTGCCTGCTCTGTGAGCGGGGTGGCCGGATGTTTTCTCAGAGGGTTGCTATGAAGACGGCTTGTCCAAAGCAGCACGGCAGCACTGGGGAGATAATAATAACATTCAGAATATGAGTGCCACTACTATCAGTGATTCATTTGGCCCTCTCTAGTGAGCTTATTCAAGAAAACTCAGCCTCCATCCCCAAGAAGTCTTTCCTTCCTGCTAGTGTGCAATTAAAAAAAATGGTGGGGGGAGCCCATGGCCTGCAGGGCAGCAGTATTCCTAACAAAGGTGCTTTCCCGCTGTCGAAAGGAGGATGCACACTCAGGATCAGCATCACAATTTGCTCATCCTCAAGTTTGTGTTGCATCCAGATAGGATGACCTGGAAACTACTTATTTCCTAGCACAAAGTATAAGCACCCGATAGAGACAGCCCCGTTTTGTTTAGTTTTGAATTTTCAGGCTACACCCAGCCATGCTCAGGACTTATTTCTGGCTCAGACCTCAGGGATCGCGCCTGTTAGGGTTCAGGGGACCAAACAGGGTGCCCAGAAATTGAACCCGGGTTGGCTGGTGCAAGGCAAGTGCCATACCCACTGTACTACCCTCTGGCCACCTCCCATCGCCACTCATGGTTTGCTTCGGCTCAGTTCATCCTCTCCGAGGGATGAGGGAAGAGGACACTGCAAACTCCCAAATGACAGAGTTGTACACACACGAAAGGGGGAAAGAAAGTCACATTTATTTTACAAGGTAGTCTTTTCCTAAAAGATTATACATAAAGAAAAGTTGAGCTGTTTATAGGAAAACAGTATCATTTTTAGGAAATTACAGTAGGGTCAACATTGCGTTGGAAGTAGACAGGTTTTAAAAAAGAGCACAGTAAGTGAATAATTACAAGATATGAACAGCCTCAAAAAAGTGTCTGTGAACCAACAGGATGAAAGCTCCGCCTTCACCCTCTCAGGGGTGACCGGCTATCAAGACCTGGGCAGACTCTGCATCTATCCCACAGAAAGAGACGCCCCAGCCCCACACCCACCCCTGCACCAGCCCCATGGGCACGGATGCTCCTGATACAGTCGGTGCTCAGCAGCAGAAAGTCATGAGAAAGTTGGTGACATAGAAAAATGAAAAAGGCAAATCTTTCCAAAATGGATTCAGAGCAGTGTCCTTGTAGGAGTGCTGGGTGTGAGAGTCACCCGCCTTCCTGGGATCCCCAGCCTGGCAGAGAGGGGGGCTCCCCCACCCCCACTCCCAGGAGCTGCCTCGGAGTCCCAGGGAGTCCCAGCCCTCATCTCCTCTGGAGACGGGAGTAAGAATATAAACTGTTAAAAGCTTTGTTTTCCTCACGTGAAAAGCCAAAATGTGTCAATAACATTTTGCAAACAAGTTGGTATAATCAAGAGCCGCCTGTATAAATATTATTTTAACGTGTGCTTTTTTCTTTCTTGCCTACTAGTATTTATACCACCAAACAGATCTGGGTATTTTGACAGCTTTTTACATTATCTGGTTGCATCCTATTACCGAGTAGAGAAATTTGCATAAAAGGAGTTTGTTATGATTAGTCCCTAAAGAACTGTGATGTTTCTGATAGGCCAGGAAGTGGAGGTTAAGAGACAGAAACCAAACCTGAAATCACATCCAAAAAGTGCCTCAGGAAACAAGCTCCTGGTCCAGTCTGGCTCGGTTCTGGCTTGGTTCTGGCTCCCTGGTCTCCTTTTTAACCTTGAGCTCCAGGGCTTCCATTCCAAGAGAAGCAGCTGGAAGGGTTATCCTTGAATTCTCATTTCTGATGTTAAAAAACTACAGGGTAAAAAAACAGCTAGATTTGATTGTAAAACCTCATTTGCTAATGCACAAAATACGTATAACCACAAAAGTGTTTTAAGTGTGTTAGTTGCTCAAGAAAGTTGGGAGCATGTTTGAAACTGAAAATGCTAAAAATTAATCCTGGTTAGATTAGAAGTTTAAAATCTACAGAGCACTTAGTTTGTATCTTCTACCTAATACCTTTATGCCAAGTTTCCACGAAAGCAGTCTCTCTATCCACACCGCCCATCTACCGCTGCAAGAGAAGATACTACCAGGTCCAAACCATAAAGCTTTCATATCTCTCAGTGTGCAAGTATTAACAAAAGGCTATTAACATGTCTGTGTTAACAATTGTGTTTGAAGTCTATAATACAAGATGTAGTCTAAACATTTTCTAAAGTGCCTATAAATATGCTTATACAAATGAGTGATATAGTATCAGGATTACAAAGGAGTTTTTTTTATTTAATACAGAACAGAAAAGGCCTAGAATTTAAGTTGAAACTACTCGTATTTATATCCTTATCACCTGTGTTTTGGAATGCAAGCATAAAGAAACAATTCTGGTTATGTCACGCATGATTTTCGGAGAATTATGAAACAGTGCTAGGAAGGACCAGGTCAAATTTCGCTTGTGCTTGTTGAGAGAAGGCTACTTTGAGATCCAGGAGCATCTGATATTTAGAATCCATTGGAATATCTCAAATCCTATAAAATAGTATTAAGTGAAGTTTGGCGAGGTTTTGATTATAAAGAGATTGTGCAAATATTTTACGTGATTATTAACCGTTATTAAATTCAAAAATTCCATTAAAATTGTGCCTAATCTGAGTGGCAGTTTCGAAGTTTAAAAAACAGGAATGTCGGCAAATACCGATCTTACTAGTAAAAGACTCAACCCTAGCACAGCCCTGTGACCACCTATTTCCATGGTTTGGGAGATCTGGTGGTTCTTAGGTCTGCGGTTAGGCTTGTGGACAGGGCCCAGAGTAGAGTGGTTAGGATCCACGTGGAGAAAGAAAACCCCCTTGATGCCTATCCCCAGGGTTTACCCACAGGGGGAAGTCCAGAAACAGACCTGGAGAGGCAGCTGGGACTCGGTGCCCAACAGCTTCCAAGCCCCCTCCTCTCCTGGGCCCGCCTGTCCTTCCTGCACCTTCTCCGCCTCCCACACTTGGTTTGACCATCCCTGTCATGACCCTCCATTTCAGTAAGAGGGAAACTGATGCTGCATTCTCATCCAGCAGAGAGAAGTTTTAACGAACACTGTTTTCAAAGTAATACGCGTATTCTGCTTTCTAAATCCTAGGGATGTTTTGGGGTACCTAAACCTAAGAGAATGCTCTAGCTAAGCACTTGAACGATACACACAGCTAGAAGAACAGGTTCTGCCCAGGATGCTTTGTGAAGGATGCCCAGGGGAGGCTTGGGAAGGGCACATCAGGCCTCTTATACAGACTAATGAGACTAAGAGATGTGCATGATGCTGACAGGGAAAATGCCCCGAGAACACGCTCGCGGGTGCTAGGATATTGGTTGTGCTTCTCCAACTCCATCTGAGACGCTACTTGCTTACTGAAGTCTTAACTCAAGAAGGCAGATCAGGAGAAATGGCAGATAACCAAACCTCACAAGAACACCTGGTCCAAATGAGATGAGAAATAGAATTCTGAGGAGAGCCGTAAGAGTTTGGCTCACTCTGTGGTATGTGAGAGAGAAAATAAAAAGAACATGAATGACTGATGACTATTACTAAGTATAACAGAGAAAATGAGTATCACATAAAATAAGTTCTCCTGACTTAGCAGCAAACTATTTCAACTGTTTTTTTGCATTTGCATAAAAAAAATCCATGCATCATCACTGAAGTCTAATCCTTGTCTCACCTAAGCCATTCTAATGCTTCATACAACCAAATGAAGCAGAATTAATCAAACCTATTAGATTCATTCCTAATCCCTAAAGGACTGCTGTCTTTAGCATTTTCCATGCTAACTAAAACTATGACTGATATAATTTTTTTTCTTAAGACGTCAGATGTGGCTGCTCCTAAATATAATGCCTATATAACTTCAAGAGTTTTCTCCAGATTCAAAGAACAAATAAGAAAAGCTGGGGGGTGTACGGGAGCTCTCAGAGGGGACCACTCAAACGAGGCCACCCATTGGCCCTGCCCAGGCCAAGCCCCTCTCCCTGGCCTCGGCCCAAATGTATTCCGGATAACAGCCCTGAGTGTGTCATCTCCACCGTGGGCCTCTTCAGAAGTGAGTTTGGTCCTGCTCAGTCCGTATCCTCGGAGCAGGTGTTTAGCTAAAGCTGGACTGAACACGAGATGGAGAGGACACTGCCAGCTGGGTCCTGGGACTCAGACGAGGGGTTGACTGACACGGACCACTGTGAGGGTGGAGCCGGCCACAGTGACCTCAAAAAGAAAGTCAGACCCAGTGCAGGGGCAGGGAGAAGAGGACAGGGATAAAGAGTGGCCCGTGCCAGCCAGGGCACACCCGTCCCCACCGCCTGTGACTCCTCTATGGGGCTGGCAGGGTCAGGGTGCCTTTTGGCACCCCACAAGGAAGGCCAGGAGTCTTGCTGCGGAGAGCTGTTTCTAAAAACACTCCTTTGCTCTGGGTCGCTCCTCAACCTGATCCAGAATACTCTGTGATCATCACTTCTCCGCTTTCAAAGTTCCCAGTGAAATTAAGGCTGGGTCACAACTGATGATGTACCAAGATGCTACATAGAAATTAAGTCAAGATACAAAAGAAAACGGTCGGTACGAAAAAAAGTCTTAGAAGACGAATTCAAGAGTGAAACTAATCAGCAGACCACTGAACTGCAAGAGTTGCTAGAGAGGGGTAGAAAATGCCAAGTGCAGTGGAAAAAGGATCCGTCAGACAAAAGTACAAAAGCGCCATGGGGATCGAAGGCCATGGCTACTGCGGCCCCTCACACGGTGGTTTCTATGGTCTCAATCACTTCCAGGTCGGACTGTGATGGCGAGAGCAGGGTGCACTCGTCCGGTTCCCAGCTGCTCTCGGGGCTGTAATCTTCCTCTGAACTCAGTTCTGCTCCTTCTTCTGTCTCCTCATCACACGACTCCACGTAGTGAGCCCCGATCGCATTGATCCCAGAGTCCTCCGAGCTCGAGGGAGAGGAGCAGTGATCTATTTTTGGCGTGCTGCTCTCTTGTGAAATTAAGGCATTGTGTGCGGAGACCTCCTCGGGGCCCGTTTTGTGGGAATGCGGTGCCAGCTGCTTCTGCACATAACACATCTTCCCGTTGATGCACTTGACTTGATAGTTGTCAATAAAAAGGTCTGAAATCGTACAGTACCTTGGGGACTCCGGGGGGAGAGGAGGCTGGAAGACAGATGCGAACTTCAAAAAGTGTTCCGTGAGGGAAACGGAGATTTGAATGGTGTTTGTGGGTTCCCGAGGCTTCACAGGGATCTCCGTGCTTGGAAGCTGTTCCACAGGGGTCATAGGCTGATACACATACTTGCCTGCAGGGAGCAGAAACACAGAGGTTAGAATCTGAGAGTATTCCAGAAAGATCATCAACACACCCGCAATGACTGTTTTCTGAGAACTCCACATGTCTTTTTAAAAATATTTCAATAATATGTCAAAAAAAGCTAGTAAAATTGTTCAGCATTTTTATAATCAACTTAAAACAGAGCACAATAAATAGCACTGAGGTACTTCCATGAGAAAGTCAACACACTGTACACATTTTAATTTATATAGGAGTTTTTACATTGCCTCTAAAATAAGCAGGTGGACATCCTTGTTTTACAGAATATTTTAAATGAGTTTCTAGTCAAACTGGAAAAAACAATATCCATAATACAGTATGATAAAAACAGTTATAAATTAGCTTAATATACCATGAAATTATAGTTCTATTTTTATCTTAATAATTACGTGAAGATCACACTAACAAAATGAAGGACTGTGTAACAATTTATATTATCAGGATTACAGAAGACTTCTACTTTAGAATGTTTTATTTGGAGGGTTAGAGAGAGGTCTCCCAAGCAGTGCTCAGAAGGGCCCACTGCCAGTTCTCAGCCTAGCAGGCCACTGGTTTAGTGAAAGGCCTGAATGCGATGCTGCTCAGGCCTTGCAGTGCTGAGGATACCCAGGTCACCCCTGTGTGCTGGGTCCCCTCCATACCCGGTGGTGCTGGGAATCAAACCCGGGTCAGCTGAATGCTAGGCATGCACCCTAAACACCATATTATCTCCCAACTATACTTCTGAGTGCTATGCCAGAATAGTCTCATTCTCTCTAGATGGATGCGTATCTCTTTCCAGGCCCAGAGCTCACAACTGACCTATGCAGGAGATGCTTCCTGATACCAACACCGCCGGCACGAGGCAGCTGAAGCCAAGCGGAAACAAAGTAGAGCTGGAACAATAGTACAGTGGGCAGGAGGAGCTTGCCTTGAATGCAGCCGACCTGAGTTCAATTCCCGGCATCTCATATGGTCCCCTGAGCACTGCCAGGTGTGACCCCCAAACAAAACAAAACAAAACAAAAAGCAGAAGCAAAGAGGCAGGTGCTTCCAGGCGTGACCGCTGTCCATTCTGAGGAAACCAAGAAGCTTGTCTCCAAACCCTCCCAGCTTCTCTGCACGCTACGGTGCTTCACACACAGTTGATTGGGAATAAAACCTAGATGGAACCGCACCTGGATTATGTCCCTGCCCACATTCTCCTTTATCCCACTCAACATTGAGTCAAGACTCCATGGGGCCTGAGGCTAAAGCACTAGAGCTAGAAGTGAAACGTATCCATTTGTGAATTGAAAATTATTCCAAAATAAATCTCCGGGAAATCAAAAGCAAGCCTGCGAAGGCTCAAAGCCAGTCACTCTTGAACATACCATTTTGGGGTTTTGCTCATGGAGTTGATCATCCATCTATTCGCACAGCAAGTTCTACACAGTTTCAAGTCGGGGACCTTTTTGAACTCCCCTACTGCTGCCATCTTGAACCAGATATCTGTGTGTTGTCAGGCAGTGTCCAATGCACTGAGGGATGCACTGCTGTCCTCTACCCACCAGGGGCTGGTGGTACTTCCTCCCCAAGTATGACAATCCAAACTGTCTCCACGCATAACCACAATCCCTTGGAAGGGGGAGGGGTGCAAAATCACCCTCACTGGGAACCCCTGATTTCTGACATCCTCTTGATTGTCTTTTTGCAGACAAATCACCCATTATTCATGGTACGTGATTCCATTTATTTCCTGATCAGACTGAAAAGCTCACTATCTGTAAAGGAAATCAATTACAATTTGTCAGGTTAAAATGACATCAAATAAAACCTAACAGCTTGGTATGGCAGAGTGCCTGCCTTCAAGCACCTGGGGTATCACCAGCTGAAGGGGCAAAGAAGGCACAGAGACAGGCCTCCCAGAATTAAACAAAGTTGCATCCATCTGGGAACAGAGAAGGGAGCTGGAAGATTTGGGAAGACTATTTCCTTCTGTCCACCAGTGGGAAGTAAAACACCAGAACCGATCGTTTGAGGCTGGTAGGTAGAGTGGAAGCTGCTGAACTCAGGGCCCTGGGAAGGAGGATTGTGGACTGCCAAACACTAAATTCATTCCGGCAACCTCCTTTTCCTTGTACTCCTGTCAAACACGGGAGGAGTCTGGACTGATCTTCAGTCCCAAAGGAATCAAGGCAATGCCCAGTCTACGCAGAGGGAACCCAGGGAGCCTAACTGAGATACCTCTGTGTACCCCCTCTCTTGGTCTCGCTCACTCAAGCCCTGGCTCTCCCCCTCCCCCTTCACCTCTGTGCTGCTTCAAGGTTCCAGTGCTTTTTCTGTTCTTCCTCTTAATTTCTCTAGCCCTCTCTCCTGCAAAGCTCTGTTTTCCTTCTTGAAGTGCAATATGAGAGAAGTGCTGCTGGGTGAGGATGATGGAAACCACAGTCATTTCCCCTGCCTTCTCCTCACTACACCTGACAGTGCTCTGGCAGAGGAAGAACTAGAGACATCACCTGGTGACGTGGAGCTATAGATGACGAAGGCAGGCAGAGAAAAGACGGCCAGACGGGAAACAAAGCTTAATCGACATCTTTCAATGACCAATTATTATATAATTACTACTGTATGTAATAAGTTCATACAATAATTTTATATAATAAGTACATATAATTACTACTATGTCTGATTTGTTTATTATAACAAACAAAGCAAACTGTGTGAATTAAGTTTTGTAAAGTTTGGTTAGTTCTTTTCCTAATCCCCAACTGTCTTTTACTCTGTCCACTACGCTGTCAATCCATATCCACAATGATACCCTGAGGCACTGTAATACCCTGCATTATCAGACAGACTCACTTATGTCCACTCTGCTGTACTTACTAAAAAAATATGAGCTACCACAAATTGACAATAGCAAGAGCTGAAATAAAGGGAATACTAGCCACTATTCACTAAATTCACTAACCGCTATATTCTCTTTTCTCACCAGTCCACTTAATGAAGGGCCTTCTACACTATTTAAAGAGATAAAAGGATTCGAACTTCCAAAACTTAAATCTCTAATAGGAAAAGGCACTCAAAGAGAGAAGATCATCAAAGTAGGAGAGTCAAAGAAAGACATAGGCACCACATGATTCAGCAATTCCACTCCTGGGTACAATACATACACCCACAAAGAACTGAAAGCAGAGTCTTGAAGAGGTATTTGGATGTCTGCTCTAAAGGGTATTACTCACAATAGGCAGTAGGCAGATGCGACCCAGGTGTTCACCAATACCTGATAATGCAATGGGTGAACATGATGTGTATCCACAGAGCTGTTATTCAACCTTTGAGAATAAGGAAACCAACCCTGTGGCATGGCTAAAGGCTGCAATAAATGGTGGTGTTGTATGAACTATATTCATACAACAATATGAATATAGTTAAGACCCTGCATGGTGTATAATTTAAGAGTTATGATGGTCAGCTTTATGTTGTGTATCACAATTTTTAATTTAAAAATTAGTCCATATGAGTCACCATATTAACAGACTGCAGGGGGAACTCCATATGATCCAGAAATAAAAAGAATTCTTATGACTCAATAACAACAACAACAACAACAACAACAAAAACACACACACACAATTCTTTAAAAGGTCCTGCTAGCCAGCTGCACATGCTAGGGGGAAAGGCAGCTCAAACAGAGAAGGGAGCACCAAGTAAAGGGTGTTGGGAGGATCCTCCCAGGATGGGAGATGCATGCTGAAAGTAGACTACAGACTGAACATGAATCCACTCAATGCCTCCTTCCTGTAAACCACGGCACGCGAAAGGAGAGAGAGAACAAAAGGGAATGCCCTGACACAGAGGCAGGATGGGATGGGGGAGATGGGGGGTAGGAGGGGTACTGGGATCAGTGGTGGTGGAAAATGAGCACTGGTGGAGGGATGGGTACTCGATCATTGTATAACTGAAACCAAAGCACAAAAATGTGTTTAAGTCTGCAACTGTACCTCTATGTGTTTCACTAATGAAAATTTTTTTAAAAAAAGGAGACAGAAAAAATTTAATTAAATAAAAGAAAAAAGAAAAAAAGGTCCTGCTATATATGAAGGCAACAATCAAGCTGCTTGGCAGTGACATAAATGTTCTATAACTTGACTTTACTACTATCAATAATCTTTGTGACAATCCCATACTACCCTTTTGCAGAGACAGACAGCTATCATTGTGGGAAGCTGGAATATGAATAAATGGGTGGAATGTGTGTGTTGGGGTGGCGGGGAGGGGGCTTCTTATTTTTTTTTTTATTTATTGAATCACTGTGGGAAAGGTTACAAAGCTTTCAGGTTTATGTCTCAGTCATGCAAATATCAAACACATTTCCCTTTACCAATACTTATTTTTTACCATGAAGAACCCCAATAAAACCCCACCCCCACCCCTCCCCGTCCCTGTGAGGCAGATGAATTCTAGTTAACACTCTATCTGCTTTGATTAGATTCATTGTTTCAATAAAAGATTCACCACTATTATTTAGAGTTTACCCCCCCCCCCAATCAGACATGCTGAAAAAGCATTGTGAAGTGATTTGCTTTCTACAGCTGGGTTCAAGAATTAAATGTTGGTTTTGGATTTCTGCTATTTTACCTATTGACCCTGGAAGTATTTCTACTGAAAGTCAGATAGTTAAGAAATTGGTTTCTGTGTTCTGGAGTCGTGGCCGTGCTGGAGAGCCGCTCGTGGGGGGCAACTGGTGGCCTCGGTAGGGCGTGAAGGGCAGAGCGAAACGCCCCCCTTCCCATGAGGTTTTAGTCGCCCCCACACTCCCGGCTCATACCTGCTGTCCACAAGGCTCCCATGTGGCCGCCATCTTTCTTTCCAGAGAGGAGAGGGCGAATGGGGCAATACCCTTTCCCCTCCGGCAGACTTGATGGGCTGGATCAACGCATAGTCCGTTCACTTTTCTGCTCCAAGCTGCTGGGTTCTGCATTAAGTCCTTGTGCTTCTGGGCCATGG